CTCCCCCTCCGCGAAACCCTGTGAGGATGAAGTAGCACCATTCCAAAGTACCGCTGTGTGGGTTAGGTTTAGAGTTTAGGGTTTTAGGGTTTCAGGGTTTAGGGTTTTAGGGTTTCAGGGTTTAGGGTTTGGGAATTTGGAGAGGCCTGGAGAGATCTCTCAAATTTGCCCGAAAGCAAAAATCGAGCTTGTTGGATCCAAAACCCCAAAACCCTAGGCCCTAAACCCCAAGCGCCAACCGGGAGTTGATTTGGCCTCAATCTGCCAAGCAACATGTGCAAGGCTGGGCGGGCCTATTGAAGTCCTTATAGTAGTTTTTACTGTGACAGCACACCGCAAGACTCTAATCTAGTTCTCAAAGCCCCTCTGCTAAACCCTGAACAATAAACCCCTGTAGCAGCGGGATGCGAGACTGTTTCCAGGGTTTTGTAGGTGTTGTAGTTGCCCGCCCCATGTGGGCTTTTCATGTCTCTTTCGCCGGATAAAGTTGGATTGGCTGATGAAAAATGGGCCACCAAAAACAGTCTCGTAAACAAGAATCCATGAGGACCTCTCAAAAACCCTAATCCAATAGTAAGCCGCCCAGACCAATGCCAGGAGGTCTTTAGCAATTGTGACTTGCCCACTCGCCGCGCTGATGCCGTGGATGAGGGGGAGGCATCGGGTTCAGGTTGTAGCGTCTCCCCTAAGACACCAAACCCAACACCACTGGGCCTGCAAAACCCTAAACTACCCTAGTTTAGGGTGTCGCTTGCTTTTGATTTCGGGTTTAGGGCTTACAGGGATTAAGGTTTCGGGTTCAGGAAAACGGACGCCGAAACTCCCAATTTGCATAGCACCAGGGTTCAGAGATTAGGGTCTACCTGGACCCCAAACCTACTTTTTTGAAGACTTATACAAAGAGATCAGAATAAGGATCCCAAAGAAGGTGGGTTTTATAGGTCCAGGTAGGGTTCAGGGTGTATACCTACATCCTAAACCCAAAACCCTACAAACGTGCGACCCTACAGCCCTACAGCCCTAAACTGTACAACCCTACAGCCCTACAGCCCTAAACTCTAAAGCCTACAACCCTATAGCCCTACAGCCCTACAGCCCTAAACCCTACAACCCCAAACCCTACGCCCTCCACGCCCGAAGTTGCCGATGACAGAGTCACCGAGTGACGGGCCAACTCCTGGTAGGGTTTAGGGTGTAGGGTTTTAGGGTTTAGGGGTTATAGGGGCTCGCGTCTTGCTTTGTGAAGGTGAAGGTTCAACGGTTCGTGCACTACCCGGCTACCGATGATCCGTTGGACCGCTTCAATGCCTACGTTCGAGGCAGAGGGCTCTTCCGCAGGAATAATCCCTCAGCAGTTTGGCAGTAGCTAGCAATGAACTGCAAGTAGTAACTAGAGGACTATATATGCGTAGTTCTCTACATCAGGGTCCCTTTCTTCGGTCCCCAATATAGTGCGGCAGCCTTCTAAAACGGATCCTAAAAGAGGCCCCAATTTTAGAGGACTAGCCATATAGGCAGAGGCAAAGGTTAAGGGCCCGGGGTTGAGGGATTTGGGTTAGGTGTTGTTCCGACCTCGGGTCTTCAGGAGTGCCCTGCTTTAGGAGATAGTGCTTTTAGGGTGTAGGGTTTAGGGGAGATAGTGCTTTTAAGGTTTAGGGTTTAGGGGTTTGGCCTACCAGCACTTCAGACTGCCCCCAGGGGTCCTTCGAGACATTGTCATGATGCAGATTGGCGATGAAATCCACGTACCGTGGCCATTGTGTCTGACGGCCTGCCTACCGATGATCCTCTACTCAGCTGTGAACGTGCTGGGCTGTGACAACGGCTCTTGCGAGGAATCTGCGCGGCTGGCAGGTTGGTCCTCAGCGCTACAATACATTCTGGCCCAGACGTTGGGCTGGGTACTCGTCATATTGCTGACATTCCCACTGACCTATCCTGTGATGCTCCGCATGCTTAGATGTATTCTGTCGTTTGGCGATGCCCCGGTGCAGCGCTGCGCGGCTTTCTTGTGTTGCTTCCTGGCTTATGAGTACACCTATATGTGTGGTGGCTTGATCTGGGGCGCCTGGTTTGCTGTTGCGCCAGACTACTCCCCAACTCAGCTCATTTTTTTCCTGCTGGTGGTGATCTTGATGGTCGTCCAGTCCCTCTGCTTGTTTTACAGATGGGAAAGACAAGACCGGGAAAACCTGACATCGTGTCGCTGTGTCAAACGACAGGTCGCGACATATCAGGCAGCTCGGTAGTCAGCAAGCAATTTCTGAGACTCTTTATGGGCTCTGCCTTAGCCTCATCTAGTCCTTACATGTTTTCGGTGCCTACTAAATAATTACCAACACTACTCCTAATACTAGAGTCCCCAACACCCTATTATAGCTGTTGTTGTGACCGGTCGTTTCCTTTCTAGGTCCTAAACCCTAAACCCTGAAACTCTAAACCACAAAAAAAACTCTAAATCCTAAGCCCTGAGCCCTGGACGCAAATGAGCTCTCAAACAAAGAACCCTGAACATTGGAGTCCAGAGAATGTGAGGCAATGGGCGCCGAAAGTGGCGTGCCTTTGGCATCTTTCGACGATTGAGGCAATGGGCGCCGAAAGTGGCGTGCCTTTGGTATCTTTCGACGATTCTCCCCACTAAGCCGAGATCCGGCTGAAAAATGTGACTTGGGCTACACTTCATCCTGAAACGCCCTAGCGCTAAACCCTAGGAAGTCCTAAACTCACGATCCCGCAATACGCCTTTAAAAATCCTCAGCACATTGAGCAACCTTCCACCCCAAAAACCCTAAACCCTAA